CTCTACTGGGTCATGTCTGCAGAGGTAAACTAGAAGTTTTTCAATTTTTCTTATATCAGACAGTGGTTTATATTTTCATAACATTGTGGTATGCACATGCAGTATCAACTTGAACTTCTCTAGTTGAAAAGTAGGGCGGAGTAAAGTGGGTATTCAGATTTTTATAGGATATCCTCACCTATCTGGTCCATATAGATGTGAAGGATTGGCCCGTGTTGGCTGTCGTAGAAGGAAGGCTGGCTGGGCGGAGACAGAGGAGTCCACACGGGAAGTTGACGACGCGAAGCTCTGGTCCTGTGAGCTCGCCTTTGACCGGTCGTGCTGCACCAACTCCCGAAGGTCTCTAGCAAACTGTTTCAGGCGATAATCGGGGACGTCGTGGTAACCAAGGGCAGCCAGCTGGCGACGGATGTCGTCTTCAGTGAATTCCGAAGACTCGTCTGACATTTTTGGGCGGTAAACGACGGACGTGCTGCGGAAAATTACCCAGGACGATTGCCCAAGTATTTAACGGTTTAAATATGGCGGCGTTGTTTTCAAAGCCAGGCGATTTCAATGTACAGAATTCGGGGGGGGGGGATAAATCTACATATAATATCACTGAGATGAATATAATCTTGGCAAAATTATTACTTATAAATGATTAATAAAAGTACTGCTATACATCAATTTCATATTTATGTTATGCTTATAATGCTTTGCTCAATATCTAAACATTTATTCTAACCACTACCGTCACCCGTCACCACTTCACATATAGTACATTCTGGAAGGAGAGACCACTTCGTAACTGTTTGGGGGAGCTAAATTAAAACTATTCGAATGAAAGCTCATCTGTGTTGGTAGAATACATAGTTAAAGAGTTTGACTTGTTCCAACACAATAAGGAGAACTCACCATAAATTTTCGGCTGATCCCGTCAACCTTCGTCAGATTTGTGATGCAATCGCTGACTTTCCGGAAGTCGGAAACGTGATGACGTCAGGAGTGCATCAAAAGTGGCGGGAAGACGGTATCTGGACGGTACCTTTACCCATTTACGGATTTCCTTTGTCATTTGATTTAGGCAGCAAGTCATTATTTCACCGTGAGATACAATGGTTTAGTCCATCTCTGCATCATGGCGTCTGCTGGCCGAGGAAAGTTGTTTGGCGGTTTTTTCAAGCAAGACAGCTATTAGTGGCCCCCAAAGACAGAACCCCCAAAGAACAAAAGTGTGGCGTGATTTACCACATTCGGTGCGCAGGTCAAAATATCAGAGGACCTTG